ATCCTTCAGAAATCATTATGATATGCTGATTTGCTGCTCAAGAAACAGTTATTATTATTAATGGTGAAAACATTTATTATTTTTGATGAAAGTTCAAAAAACAGTGTTTGTTTGAAAATTATTTTATTTATTTATTTAATTTTTTTTAACAATATTAGCCCAAAGTTTTGAATCGTAATGTAACACACTTCCCGCAAAAATGTTTTCAACATTGATAATAAGAAATGTTTCTTTAACTTTTTTTGTATCGATCATCTTATTCTGACAGGTAAAATATAATAAATATATATAAAAAAATAATATTAAAATAATAACATTAAAATCTATATATTGCTGTTGTTTTTCCAGTAAGTATGATTTTTGTGCTCTGTGTGTTTTCCCCCGTTCTCAGGGGTTTATGGGGTGGATGGGGGTGTTTGGGTTAATTGGCCACTCTGAGCCTGTCAGCTGACACTGGACTGACACAGATTCGATAATGTCATCATGTTCTGGTATTTCACAAGCTATGAACCTGATGTTTTGACAGAAAGGCACACAATAACACTGCCAAGTGATATAACAGCAAATACTGTAACTTTAACCCCAGTTTCTCAACGTCCCTTTGCTTTGGCCCGATGCCAGTGTCGTTCACCTCGTGTCATGTGGGTTTAGAGCAAAAACAAACTCACTACACCAATAAGGTCTCCCATCCAGGTACTGACCAGGCTCAAAACCCACAATGACACTGACAAAGCAAATAAATATAGTAAATAATAGGAAAAAAGGAGTAATTATTTCCATGTTTTTGCCAAAAAATTACGTTTTATTATGTACGGAAAGCATAGGCTACTCTATTTCTCCCACTCGCTCTCCTTACGTGCGCGCGCACACAGAAACATACACGCGCACAGAAACGTGTTATTAAGCACTGCTCTGATGATTTTATCAGTAAAATAGTTTAGCAACTTAAAAGTTACGTCTTTTCTCACTAATAACGGCGCTGAGATGAAGATTATGAACTTGCAGTTTCGCTAATGACACTGCTGCCGAACACAGTTGAGAGACGCACAGACTCTCTCTCTCTCTCTAATAACTTCATTAATAACTGCATTAGTCTGCTACCAACGGCTCAAGCCTCCGTTACTAGGTCTAAAATGACGTTTTGGAATTAGCAACGGAGGTGTTGGATGAGATGCGTAAGAAACTAAAGTAACACTTTAGAATAAGGAACACATATTCACTATTAACTAAGAGTTTTCCCTCAATAAACTTCTAATTTGGTGCTTATTATTAGTTAGTAAGGTAGTTGTTAAGTTTAGGTATGGGGTAGGGTTTAGGGATCTTAAATATGGTCATTAATATGTGCTTTATAAATACTATTGAACAGCAAATATGCTAGTAATATGCATGCTATTAAGCAACTAGTTAATAGTGAGAATTGGTCCTTAAAATAAAGTGTTACCAAAATTAATCCTACACACAAGAGCGATTCAAGGACAAAAACCTGATGAATGTCTTTGGATATAACATCTGAACAATATTTGAGGTGTGGTAACCCTAGTATAAGTGGAATGATTGATGACGGGCTATTGAATTATTAGAACATATATTTTAAAATGTAATTTATTCCTGTGATCAAAGCTGAATTTTCAGCATCATTATTCAGTGTCACATGATCCTTCAGAAATCATTATGATATGCTGATTTGCTGCTCAAGAAACAGTTATTATTATTAATGGTGAAAACATTTATTATTTTTGATGAAAGTTCAAAAAACAGTGTTTGTTTGAAAATTATTTTATTTATTTATTTAATTTTTTTTAACAATATTAGCCCAAAGTTTTGAATGGTAATGTAACACACTTCCCGCAAAAATGTTTTCAACATTGATAATAAGAAATGTTTCTTTAACTTTTTTTGTATCGATCATCTTATTCTGACAGGTAAAATATAATAAATATATATAAAAAAATAATATTAAAATAATAACATTAAAATCTATATATTGCTGTTGTTTTTCCAGTAAGTATGATTTTTGTGCTCTGTGTGTTTTCCCCCGTTCTCAGGGGTTTATGGGGGTGTTTGGGTTAATTGGCCACTCTGAGCCTGTCAGCTGACACTGGACTGACACAGATTCGATAATGTCATCATGTTCTGGTATTTCACAAGCTATGAACCTGATGTTTTGACAGAAAGGCACACAATAACACTGCCAAGTGATATAACAGCAAATACTGTAACTTTAACCCCAGTTTCTCAACGTCCCTTTGCTTTGGCCCGATGCCAGTGTCGTTCACCTCGTGTCATGTGGGTTTAGAGCAAAAACAAACTCACTACACCAATAAAACAATGCAATAAAGTCAAATGCCTGATTGCCGCCCGTGTTTATAGTAGTATTAGAAAACCACAACTAAAGTCAAGCAGTGACTGAATCATCCAAACCTAATGTTTATTTCTTTTTCTTACTTGATCTATATTGTAAGTGTGATGGAATGGCATTACTGTAATTAAGTTGTCTTGTTCTTGCCTTATTAGTTTTCCTATGAGTTATTGTAGGATGTGTTTAGCTGCTGACGCAAGACTGGATTCCTGTTTGATCAATGCCAAGCTAAAACAACACGTTCAACATTGAGATTATTAAAATCCTGAGATTGGCATAAAAAAGAGGTTTTGCAGTTCACTTATATGACAAAAAATACAGAATTCCCAGAAAAATGCAGTAATCAACAACTCTTGATGAATTCATACAATTAATCAAATAATCTAATTAATTATGTTTTCATTTAAATGTAGATTACAGTAGAATTTTAATTTTTAGATTTTATTTTCCTGCCCCTGAAATACATTTTGAAAAATAATTTGGTTGAAACTAAATATATTTTCAAATTTAAAAATAAAATTAATTGAACCTAACATATATATATATACATATATCTAACATATATATATATATATATATATTTAAAATATATTTGGCTACATTTTTTTTTATTTTTATCAATTGCCATATTCATTTGATCAAAAGTGACAGTAAAGCACCATTTACAATGTTACAACATATTTCTATTTTAAATGCTGTTCTTTTTAACTTTCTATTCATCAAAGAATCCTGAAAAAAATGTATCGCAGTTTTTGCAAAAATATGAAGCAGCACAACTGTGTTCAACATTGATAATAATCAGAAATGTTTCTCGAGCAGCAAATCAGCATATTAGAATGACTTCTGAAGATCACGTAACACTGAAGACTGGAGTAATGATGCTGGAAATTCAGCTTTGATCACAGGAATAAATTACATTTTAAAATATATTTCAATAGAAAATATTTTTTTAATTGCAATAATATTTCACAATATTATACTGTATTTTTTTATCAAAAAAATGCAGCCTTGGTGAACAGAAGAGACTTCTGTTACAACCTGGTATATAACACACATAAACTGAATGAAATTAGTTTAACCTGTAGAAACCTTAAACATACCAACCTATATCCATGTTTTATTTGTATTATCAGCGGTCTCCTTATCATCCGTGCTGTTTTAATGTATACGACAGCAATCAATGTGGAAGTTTTCGTAATCTTTAAAAGGTCTTTACTCAGAGGCAGATGCGAGTATAATCTCTGTATAATCTCTGCCTTTTCTACATCTAGGAGAAGTGTTCAAAAACATTGTGTGTTTGGTTTATTCTACTATGTGGTGAATTGAGACTGTAAAATATCAATATGTGGCTTTAAAATAGATTTTTCTGATGTGATATGATCACTTGTGATGCAACATAATGCAGTGTTTTGAGGAAGTGTAAAAGGAAAATCACTTATGTTATATTAAAACTGCTGTAACACAGTTGTAATATTTCATGAAATGATGTGCAAAAACATATTCAAGTATAGGAAAACCACTAAATGCATTACAATGCATTATTCACAGGTACCAAATGATCTAACATGCAATTTGGATAGAAAATATCCCACTGATCCACATGAGGTCTTTTTAGCTAATGGAGCAGCAATGGATATTTTTAAGGTTGAAGCCGCCCTCTAGTGTCTGTTTAGAAGTAGTACAACAGTAGAGTGTTTATTGTAGGAGCATTGTTACTTCTGCTAAAGTGTGCACACTTTACCATCATTTATTATTAATTATTACTATACATCACTGAAAAAAAAACAAGTCAAGTTCAGAATAAGCTCCAGGATGTTTTGATAGCCAACTTCTTACTTACATATTTTAAATAATGACAGAAAGAAGGAGGCGTTTCTGTCATTTTACAGTTGATAACTTTGTTAATTTATTGATATTCACTTATTTTTAAATAAATGTGATTTCAAATGTACTATAAATCATATGTATAAGTGCATTTTTATTTATTAATGTCTTTTCTGTGTCAATTCAAGTTTTGAATACACATTTATTTGCAGGAAGTCTCACCAAGGCTGCATTTACTTGATGAATACAGTAAAAACTGTAATATTGTGACATATTATTACTATAAATATCTGTAATTTATTCCTGTGGTCAAAGCTGAATTTTCAGCATCATTACTCCAGTTTTCAGTGTCACATGATCCTTCAGAAATTATTCTAATATTATGATTTGGTCCTCAGTTATTATTGCCATTCTATTATTGATAATGGTTCTGATTATCAATGTTGAAAGTTTTTTGTTTTTTTTTGCTACTTAATATGTTTGTGGAAACTGCTTTTAAAATATATTCTAATAACAACATAGATTTCTGATTAATCATGTCACACTGAAGATATATAAATGCAGCCTTGGTATAAGAAACTTATTTCAAAAACATTTAAAAAATCTTCTTGGCTGTGCAATGAAATTAATTGAAGTAATGCACAGAAAAAAAATTAAATAACTGAAATAATGAAATTTTGTAATAATGCACAGATATGTATTGCATGCAATAAATAAAAAAGGAACCAAATTCAAAAGTGAAAAATCTTTAATCAATTTGTATTACATTTGTAAAATGTCTATAAAAAGTGCAACATAACCATGCATGCTATGATTATGAAAGAAAAACAGTACATCAGTCAGAACTATAAAACTCAGATTCTAGGATTTAAGCCTTTAGATGAGAAGCTAATGATCAGATGTTCTTCTCCATGGTCAGAATCGTGGCTCTAGTCATCCAGATCATCCACTTGGGAGACTCGGACGGAGTATGCACCAGGACGAGTTTAAAACCCAGCCTAAAGTACAACGCCACGGCTGCTCTCTGTGTAGACGAGGTGGAAAATTCGATCTTTGAGAAGCAGCGTTCCCTACAGAAGTCTTCGGCTATTTTGGCCAACCGTAAACCGAGACCAGAACAGCGACAGCTGGATGAAACAATCATCCGGTAGAACTCTCCAAACTTTTTTCCTTCGCTTCCCGGGTCGCTTTTACCTTCCACCGCCACCATACCCAAAACCTGAGGCCGGCCGTGTATCTCAGCCTCAGCAACCCAGAAGCAGTTATCTGGATTGCTGAGGTAGTAACCCGGGATGTCCTGCATGTCCGTGTTCAGTTTCGCCCGGACGTAGCCGGTGTAAAACTCAAAGCAGCAGAAGTACACCAGGCTGATCCAGGTTCCTCCAGACACCAGGGCCAGAACGACGGACTGTCCAGCCATCACATACACGCCAATGTAATAGAACAGGCTTACAGCGATGTGCAGAGGTCGGGTCATGGCGTACATGAACGCAGGATTGATGTGCTCCATCATTCCATCCCGGAAAACGGTTTCCACAGTCGCCCGGTCAGAGGGCTGATATCGCCGGATCACAGCGTGCACTGGTGGATTGTAAAGAGGAATAAAAATTGAAATGGATAGGGTAAAAACAATTAAAACACAGAAAATTATTAAAACAAAATAAACTGTAATCTCCACAAAATAATGTATATTATGTATATGGATGTCACAGTAATGTGTATTATATTTACCATTCTCTAAAGTACAACATCAAAACAACATGCAGGTGAGTAAATAATCAAAGAATTTTCACTTTTTGGTGAGACTACAATGCATGCATTAAAATGTTTGCAGGTGTCAGTGAAAGCCTTGATAGATAGATAGATAGATAGATAGATAGATAGCTACTTACCGTTTGATTTGGTCATTAGTATCCTTTATTTCCAGTCAATGGTCGGTTCGTGTCTGCACTGCACTGTCGATCACATGACACGTGTGTTAAATCACGTTATCAGCGGTTCAAAGGTCACAAGGACATTCTCGAATCAGACCGGACATTTTACTCATTTCATTTGGAGTTCACAGTTTCCTAAACATATATAGAAATGTCCTGAACATAGGTAAAGACCTGTTTGAATATGAGTGTGGAACTTCCAGCTGTCACTCATCTGGGGCAAGTTCAAGCTCAAACCGGTGTGCACCGTTTTGCTACGGTTTCCGGTTTGAACGACAAGTTCCCTTTCATGGGAACTTCGAACTGCGTCCTCTAGGGGTCGCTATGGGGAACGCCTCGTCGTGACCCGTGTCTGAATCAGCTGCCATATTTGCAACTCTTGCGTCATCAGAACAGAGTGTTCAACGCACCACCGTTTCCGTTTAAAAAACGTTTTGCACCGTTTTTGTTGGGGTTGAACGCAGCCCTGTTCTTCTGATGGTTGGAGGGTCCTGCTGCTGCTATTATTAGCGCCACCTAGTGTCAGCGAACCGTTACTGATGAGATTCACTTCACACGCTGTACATTCACTCTCACTCCCCTACCAACAATCCCTGGCTGCCGGTACTGAGACTCGAACCCACAAGTTACAAGCCTGAATCTCTAACCATTAGGCCACGACTGCCCTGTGCTGTCTGTATACAAACATTAATAGCAATTTTGAAAGTAGCTTCTTATTTTCCCTTTATTATTTTGATATGTTAATGTGATCTAATGAAAACTCGAGGTTGTAATTTTCAGTGGTGTCATAGAGCTTATTCATGTTTTGACAGCTCTCTGAGGCCATGGACAGATCATAAGGGTTAGAATGCAAATTGCTTGTTTTGTGTGTTTCATTGGAACTCAGTCGATGAAAACAGGGTTAAAAATTCTTAATTCAGCCTGCCACAATTTAAGTCTTTAAAAAGGTCTTAAATCTGAGCAGAAAGTCTTAAAGTCGTGGCATTAAATAGCCTAATGCATGCATTGCTAAAAAAAATTATATTAAAAATAATCTACTTTATTCGAATGTAAAATGACGTCTTGAGAAAATTTTCAATATTGTGAGTTTATGCTTAAAACAAGAATAAACATCTGTCAGTGGGGTATAAACTGGTGTCCCTTTTATTTAAGTGTATTTTTTCTGAGCCTACTGGCAGATATTGGTTCTTGTTTTAAGCATAAACGTGCTTCACTTTGATCAATCTCACAGTAAACAAGGATGTTTAGTTACAAATATCTAAACATCCTTAAATCGAGATACATTTACTTGAGATGTAAATGTAAAATGAAGTCTTGAGAATCTTTAGATATTTACACTGGACAACAAGACAGCTATACTAAGGAACAGAATTACCTTTTTGCAGTGTGATCAGAGGGCATAGAGTTTTTGTTTACTTGGACTTAAATGTACCTTAATAAATCCTGCAATCCCTGTAAATATGAATTTTAAAATTACAAAAAGAAAAATGTTTTTGGACACGTGTCTTAGCAACACCATGTTATTCTCTGAAGTATGTTGTAGTACCATGCAAATAGTATGGAGCATGAATATGTATGGTGATTTGATTGTGGTTATGATTTTCATATTCAAGTACCATGATATTTACACGATTCTCAAAGAATGTGATGGTCCTATGATATGTGTGCAAACATCGGGATTACTGGCTAAAAATAAGGTCATATCATATTTTTTGGTATTATTATAGCCTATACTGTACATTATTGTTTAAATAATAGCAATACTTGCTAGTGTATAAAGTCCAGTTTTGGATGTTTAGTTACAAATATCTAAACATCCTTAAATTGAGATACATTTACTTGAGATGTAAATGTAAAATGAAGTCCTGAGAATCTTTAGATATTTACACTGGACAACAAGACAACTATACTAAGGAACAGAATTACCTTTTTGCAGTGTGATCAGAGGGCATAGAGTTTTTGTTTACTTGGACTTAAATGTACCTTAATAAATCCTGCAATCCCTGTAAATATGAATTTTAAAATTACAAAAAGAAAAATGTTTTTGGACACGTGTCTTAGCAACACCATGTTATTCTCTGAAGTATGTTGTAGTACCATGCAAATAGTATGGAGCATGAATATGTATGGTGATTTGATTGTGGTTATGATTTTCATATTCAAGTACCATGATATTTACACGATTCTCAAAGAATGTGATGGTCCTATGATATGTGTGCAAACATCGGGATTACTGGCTAAAAATAAGGTCATATCATATTTTTTGGTATTATTATAGCCTATACTGTACATTATTGTTTAAATAATAGCAATACTTGCTAGTGTATAAAGTCCAGTTTTGCAGCAAAAAATGTGTACACATTTTCCTTTTTTTGCATTTAATCACAGTCAAATACAGTACAAAAAGAACAAGGCAAATATGAATCATTGTTACAGTTCAGAATATGTGAAATAGAAATAAAAACAAAGTATAAAGTGAACATATACATTAAAAAATTAAATAAGAACATAATACTTCACATAAATTTGAAAAGCTTTATAATTGTTTTTATAAGTTTCTTGTTTTGTATTCTCATATTTGAAAGGATTTTGTTGTGTGAGACCAGTGGGCTACTAATAGGCTATATGAATGTTTTAAACTGAATCTTGTCTCGTGAATATAACGCTTTGCCAAAATAATTAAAAAAGATTAATAACGTAATTTTGATTTTGAGAAAAATATGGGTTTGGAAAATAAAGTAAAATGTCACGTTCTCCATTTAGAGTGTTTTTTTTTTTGTTTTGTTTTTTTAGAGTAAATCAAAAAATAAAGAAACAGAGCATAAAGTATAGCCTATGTTATATATAAAGAAATTAATATATATATATA